AATCTGAACCTACAGAATTCATTCATATTTCAACAATTTATTCATGTCGTGTTAAGATAGAGACATTTCAACCTTTATATGGAGTGACAACAACTCCAGAAGGATGATAATCCCCATGCATAAAATGCTTCCTTGACTGAAACTTGTGGGCTCAAACTCGTCTAAATAATTGTTTTATTTGGATGAAAGTTATTTATCAGTTACCGACCATAGACCAGAAATCTCCTTGCAGTCATGAACTCTAAATCTTAACGTCCACTTTGAGATAATCACAGTCAGCTTTTATCGGCACAGCAGCAGATCAAGAACATGCAGACTGAAGTCCCAGCAGGCCTCAGTAGACTCCACCATGGCTAGGTTGCCTTTACGGGTCTGGCACTGAGACGGCGGCTCTCTTCAGTGCCGTTCTCACACTCTTACGCTGGTTGCTGTGTTTAGGAATGACTTTATTTAAAGGTTTTCTCACTTTTCAGAGCACTGAATGGTACCGGGCCTAGTGGACCAGTGTTCTGGTGCTCCGCTGGTCTGGGACGTCCACTCACTATCCACAGAGTCAAACCAAACAGGCTCCGTTTATCTAGAAACAAACTCCTGGAAAATTAGCTGATGACCCTTCTGTTGGCTGCTGCCTTTAATCAGCTTGAATTTGGGACAATTTCTTCATCACTGCACTTTGTTTTACTGTCATCTTCTAGTCGTGTTTCTTCGTCTTATTGTCTTGTTTTCATTCGTAGAACATGTCTCATTGCTTTGCTGGTAAAAAGTAAAAGGACAAAACTAATTTAGCCAAATCTGGACTTGTCTTTAATAGGGCCGGTTGGACTGCTGTCCAAGTTTCAGCATGAGAACACAACCATTCACTGAAGACAGTTACTGAGCTCCTCCAATATACTCATCCAGCAGCAGGAAGCGTTGTGTTCCACGGGGGCCTCCCAGTCTGTCCCCTCATTGTCCCATTAATCTCCGTGTCAACAGGGCCAGGCGGCTTTTTGTGGTGCACAGCCGTCGAGCAGCAGGGAAATCTCTGTCCGCGGAGACACCCTCTTTTGTAATGAGTCAAAGGTCATGAGTGAGGAGGATGCCGGTGGCTGGAGTCAGCACTTTGGCCCCATGTGGCCACGTCATGCTGTCGACAGGCGTGAATAGCGAGGGGCCACGGAGAGAGCGTCCTCTGGCAGCAGAGCAGAAAGAATCATGGACTAATGTGCTGAGGTCCTCCTCTGAGGTAAACACATGGCGTGGTACGACTACGGCTACTGAAACAGAACACACTGGTGTCTGTCTTAATTCAACATCTGATTCTGTCTCTTGTTCTGAGGTAACAAGCTGCTCCATGGCACATGAGTGTATTATTCTTTAGATACCGTAACACAACATTCATTCACCTACTTTACTGTAACATAAAGCCCTTGTTTTATTCTATTGCAGCATAGGATCACAGTATGTTGGTAGCTGCCCCGTCATCCAACATACAGTCACAGCAAAGCTTCAATTAAACGTTATGTGAGACTTTACATCCCATATGAAAGCCAATTCAATCTGAAGGAAGTTCCCACCTGACCTCCTCAGAATCAGCTGGGTTCAGCAACTTTAAAATATTCACTGTTACCTTCATACTATGATTCCTTGTTCCAGCATTTATTGAGCCCTCATATCTCCATTAGTCAGTAGCAGACAGACACATGACATTTTCAGGGCTGAACAACACATTTGAGCTTCAAAACTGTAAAAAAAAAATCCCCTCCAGGTGTCACAATCTGAAGATTAAATCTGTCTGTTGTAACCAGCGTCATAGTTTCAGTATGATGGGTATGATTTATAGCATTATAAACACACTAAATGTCTGTGTTCTGACAGTTCATAGCACCATGTGGGC